TTAATATTTATTTTTTAGTTCTCGGCAGACACAACATCTTTGTTGGTATGTGGTGCTGAGGATTGAACCCGGGCTGCACGCATGCCAGGCGAGCGCGCTACCACTTGAGCCACATCCTCAGCCCACCAATTGACTTCAATCACTATAATTTCCTACTTTATTCTGCTCAGATAGAGTAGTGTGAATTCAAGACACAAAAAGGAGATGATGTTCTCCCTCTTCGATTAGTCCCAACATGATGTCAGCTGGGTTTTCTTGTCATCTTTTCTGTGTTTCAGTGTCCCCCATGGGATCTATTTATTTTCCAGCTTTAGACAGAAGTCTTCTTCATTCCCCTCTTTTATATGTTGTAGGTATCAAAAGTCTTCTCCAGTTCTTTGACAATCAAGCCAGAAGTTTAGGATCACTAATATTTAGTATTTAATATTTAGTAATTATTTAGAGTATTTAGAGAAAAGACATCTCTAATACTTGCATACTTCTAGAGTTCACTTTTACATTTTTTAGTACCTTTTTGTTGTTGTGTTGTTGTTGTTGTTGTACCAAGGATTGAACCTAAGGGCATTTAATCACTTAGCAACATCCCCAGCCTCTTTATTTTTTATTTTGTTACAAGACCTTGCTAAATTGCTGAGGCTGGCTTTGAACTTGTGATGCTCCTGCCTTAGGCTCTCTAGCTGCTGGGATTACAGGTGAGCAACACTGTGTCTGGCCTATTTTTAGTATCTTTTTGAAGTCTTTTTTCTGAGAATTTTTTATGGCCAGGTTATTTATTCATTTAACAGCAAATTTTAAAAAAGTTTTAAGCAAGATAATAATTCAGATAATCTGATCCGAAACTTTGCCATAAATGGAGATCTTTTTAAAATTTGTTAAAATACATTGAAATCATAGTTTAAAAATATTTATTTGATATAAAATTTCTAAACATTAAGTTTGACAATACATTTTGTTATGGTTTAGATGTGGTGTCCCCCAGAAGCTCACGTGTGAGACAGTGCAAGAAGATTTGGAGGACAAATGATTGGATCATAGCCTTAACCCAATCAGTGAGTTAATCCCTGATGGAATGAATTGAATCAGAACTGGAGACAAGTGGGTTTTGGCTGGAGGAGGTGGAGCGTTGAGGGCACCACTATAGGGTATATATTTTGTATCTGGTGAGTTGAGTCTCTCTCTGCTTCCTGGTCACTTGTGAGAGCTGCTTTCTTCTGCCACACTCTTCCGCCACGTTGTTCCTACCTCATCTGGAGCCCTATCTCCTGTGGAGCTCTGAGAAACGGAACTGGCCTTTTATGAACTAAGACCTCTGAAACTGTGAACCTCCCAATAAAGTGTTCCTCCTCCACCAATGTTTTGGTTGGGTCTTTTATTCACAGCAGTGAAAAAGCTGACTGAAATACATTTTAACTATATTGTTGCTATTAGTAACAAATATATGTATTTTTTTATTCTAAACATTTGTATATAGAAAAACTACTGACAGTTTTCTAGATTAGTGATTATCTTTGTTTTCTATATAATGAATTGTATACTCTTAAAACAGGTTTTTGTAATCCATCCATTCATGTATTTACACTTTTTTTGTATCATCCAGTCACATTGGTTAGAACTTTCAGAATATTATAAAGTAATGGTTTCAGTGGGAATACTTTCAATAGCTTATCAGAAGCTATGATATGCTGCTATTACCATTTATTTCTGCTTTAAAAGTTTATGTAAGATATTGAAATTTTATCTATACATTTTTGGCTTTAATTGAGGTACTCATTATTTTCATTCTTTCACCTAGTACAGTAGCTTTCCTACATTTATGTTGAGACAGTTTATTATTAAAAGATAATTTGGACAAGGTTTGTTCTATTAATGTCCTAATTATAAAAATTTTCATAAGCATTCATAAAGGAATATAGTAGTATATCTTTATTCTTTCTGCATTCTTATTAGATATATTATATTTATTCAAGAATTGTTTTCTCTTTCTAAATTTTACTATCACATAATTCAATTATGGAATTAACCATTACTCAAATGGCTAAAATTTTAAATGTGAAACTTTCTGAATCTGACATCATAGCAAGGGGCAGAAGAGTGGGCAAGAACAGAACTTCAATAACATCCTCAGCTTTGTCCATGGTTGATGCTCTGTGCATATTTTATATTCATTTCACTTGTCAAAGATACAAACTTTGTGTTTAGGTTCAAAATAAATCTGCTAGGATAACCAATTTCTTTTTCTCAAGCAGATCTCTACTAAGAAATTCAAGCAAATATATTTTAGTGCTTTCTTTCTGGAAAGCAAATTTATACCACACCTACGGTGTAGAGTTCCAAAGTAGAGTGAACTTATAGATAATGAGGTTATCATCACGGTAGTAATCTGAACAGTTCAATAGAGGTGATATATTACTTTTCTAAGACTGCCATAACAAATGGCCACAAGCCTTTAGTTTAAAACAACAGAAATGCCATTCTCTCACAATTCTGGAGTCTAGAAGTCCAAAATCAAGTTCAAAATGTCAAGACTGTGTTCTCTTAGAGGCTGTAGGAGAGCATCAAATATTTCTGGTCTCTTCCCAGCTTCTAATGAAAAGACTTGTGTTGAATTTAGACACCACTCAAAAAATCCTGAGGTGATCTTATTTTAAAGTCCTCAACTAAATTACATCTGCAAACATTCTTTTACTAACTAAAATCACCCGCCACAGGTTCCAAGTGTTAGGACGTGAACATACGTGTTGAGGATTCCTGTTAAACAAGCTGCAGGCAATAAAGTAGTTTCTTAAAATCATCATATTAAAATTCATACAATTTATTGTGATAAAAAGAAAATCAAGTTTAACAATGTTTACAGGGACTAGGTTAGGCCACGTAATAAACTCATGGTGATAAATTATTTGTAGTTAAAAAGCAGAATTCAAGATCTTGCTCTTATAAGATAATTCAGATATGTACTCAGTCTTATGATGTTAAGACAGCATGTAGAAATAGAACTTAAATAGAATGTTCCCTCTTTTTCACATGAACACTAACATTTTCTTTGGATTTGTTAGTTTTATACCTTTTTCGTAACAGGTTTATTATAATAAAAGTTAAAGAATACCTTAGACTTCATATTCTAAAATCAAATGGGTTAACAAATTTCTTTCCTATCCAAGGTTTTTAACTGAATAAAATTTTGACTCCTGTCTTATGGTTTCAATTAATATTTTAATCAAGCATGAGCAAAACAACTTTTGGGGAGGGGTACTGGGGATTAAACCCAGTGGTACTTTACTACTGAGCTGCATTCTCAATGCTTTTCATTTTTTATATTTCTAAGTTGCTAAGGCTGGCCTCAAACTTGTGTTCCTCTTTCACAGCCTCCCAAGTCACTGGATTATAGGCATATACCACTGTGCCTAGCTGACATTTTTAAGGCTTTCGTTTCTTT